CGCCTCCCGGGGCGCCCGCGGGCAGGCCGAGGGCGCGGCCCCCTCGAAAGCGGCGGCCGGGCACGAACGAGCGCCGCACGGGCTCCGCCGCCGCAGGCGCAGGCCGGCCCGCCCCGGCCCCCTGGCTCACCAGCGGCTGCATCTCGGCGCGCACGGCGGGCACTTGGAAGCGGTCGATCTCCTCCATCATGGTGCCGGCGGAGGGTCGGCAGCCGCCAGGCCGCGCAGAGCAGGAGGAGGAGGGCGAGGGCGAGGAGGAGCGCGCGGCCGAGCAGGCGCCTCCCTCAGTGTCGCTGGGGCTCGCCCGCCGCCGCCGCCGCCGCCGCCTGCCTCATCCCCTCAGAGCCGCCGCGAGGCTCCGCTCCGGGCGCCGCGGAGAGAGGAGGGCGCCGTCGCCGCCGCCCGATCGCTCGCTCAGCCGCCGTGGTGACTCAGCCCTCGCCCCGCCCTCGCCGCGCGCGCACGCGCGGCCAGCCGGCCGGCCGGCCGGCACGAGCGCGCCGCTTCCTTCCGCTCGTGAGTCTCGCTGGCCGTCAGCGCCGGCGGCCGCCGCCCCGCCCCACCCCCTCTTTGAATATTCAGCAGCCGGGCCCCCGCAACGGGCTGGTTAAGCGCGCCGCTCCCGCCCCTCCTCCGCTGCCCTAGCCCCACCTTCTTATGAATTATTCATCAACAAGACCTCGTCCCCCTTCGCCGAGCAGTTTCCCCAGGGAATGAGGATCGTTCCATTTTGGTTCATTCGGGGGACAAAAGGGGGTGGGGAGACACATGGAATCGTCCCAGCACCGGCCGACGGCCTTTGCCGCCGCCTCCGCCTCCCTCTAGGGCAATGGGGCGGGAGAAAAGCCGCTTCCGGGCGGTTGCTATGGATGCCTGAGTCAACTTCCGGTCTCTGGAAAAAGTGAGGAAAACTTAAAGAACAGCAGGAAGCGGGGAGGCGGTGGCAGAAACGCTGCGGAAATGCCCGGGAAAGAGCTCTACAAGCGCAAGCAGGTAGGCAGCGGCCGGGGGCGGGTGACTGCGCGGCCCCTGTGCGTCGCCATCGCGGGTGTCAGCGCGCCCGTGACGTCCCCGCCGCCCCTCATTAGCTGGTGCCCCCTGAAGGAGACACATCTGTTTTCGAAATGAACCCCGTTTCCTTTTTGCCTCGCTGTTCGGTATAAAATGTAATCGGACGGGCAGAGAGATATGGGCATCAATAATGGTATTAATGTGCACTGCAATCTCTATAAAAATAGAGCCAGTGGAGGCATCAAAGCTGTAGGGGAAGTGGGGGGCTCTGTATTGTTCGCCTTATTTCCAGAAAGGCGGCTGTGCTCGCCTGTTATGGCGTCTTGGCTGCACCATGGCTGTCCTCCGAGGCATGTTTAGACACGGTGGGGGGTCCCTGTGGGAGCTGCAGGACGCCGTGCTCTTTGGACATCCTCAGGAGCGCTCTCTTCGCTCCATGCTCCATGCAGACTTGGGATCAGGTGAGCTTTTAGTGTTGAGTACTAGCATGGCCAGCCACCCCTTCAAGGAGATTGCATTGCTTTACCCCGGGTTTTCACTTTCAGTGATTGGCTCTGTGGTATTTTATCAAGATTTTATCTTTTAAACTGCTTTGGGATGTCTTGAAATGAATAGTGGTATAGTAATCCTCTGAAAAGTAAATAATAGGTCACTCATAATTTGAATTTTGCAGCTTTAACTTGTACAGTTAGGTTGTGATGATATAATGATGTTTCAAATAGGTTGTTGTCATCTCTACCCAGGTTAGGTAGAGAAACAGGAGAAGTATAAAGATCCATGTTTATAGAATCTTGAAGCTGATAAGAACACCAGAGGACATCCACTCAAAATTCCTGTCAAAAGGCAGGGCTTAAGGTTGCAGCCTTCATGGGAGGTCCCCTGTTCTGTACCCTGCATACTGAAGGCACAAGTCTGACAGTACAGTGTACATGAAGGTTATTCTCCAGCTTGTATGTGCAAGCAGGGGTGGGGTTGCTACTTGTCTGTTTTTTCATGGACACTGAGGATCTGAGGCCAGAAACAACTATTGCCCTGGGTGTTCAAAACCCAGCAATAATGGGAGAAGAGATCAGATGAGCTATGGAATGTATTCTTTTCTTCACCCAATCCTCTATTGCTGACAATTGACTTGCTTTCCACACAGTATCAGTACCAAGCAGGGCTCATGCTTGTGTTGCTTAGATTCACTGGGAACCCTGCAGGAGTGGGGAGGGAGAAGAGATTGGCCAAGGCAATGTTTCCTATCCAGTATCAAGCACTGCAGCCTTTTTGAAGGCTCACATGTAGAAATCCTAGGGCTAACGGTGGATTCTGAGCAGACCAAGAAATGTGAGCTACAGGCCATTCTTGCTGGCTCATCTTTCTGTGGCAAAAGGGCAATTCTCCACCAGTCATTCCAAGGGCTTCTTCACCATAAAGTTCCCTCTTAATGCATTCCTAAGTTATTATTTATGAAGAGTCTATAGTTAGCTAATGAGCAAATGTTGATTATTTGATCATAAACGTAAGTTTTAGAGATATTTTTTATCTCTCAACCCCATACATAATATTTTTATGTTGCAGTGTGATGCATATTTTATGGTTTGCCACATTCCATGCTGCAGATGTGTTACTCACCCTGAGCCCTTGTGAATAAAACAAGTTATAAATAGAAACAGATGAACGTAACAGAACTAATCATGATTCTACATATCACGAGTACTGTTTTCTTTCAAGATCAAACTCCAGGAAGCATATAATATGTCTAAATTACATTATTTTTGCCACTATTGAATGACCTTACTCCTAGGCTCTTTATTTTTACTCCACTGTACTTTGCTGAGAGTACTCTGGATTAAGCATTTTTGGGGCCAAGGACAGCTCATTTCAGACTTAATGGCTGGATCCCACCCCCTGTTTCATGGGGACATTTAATTTGAGGCATGCTTTCTGCCCATGCAGATTGGTGTCAGCTCTGTGGAGAAGACAGCTGTAGCTTTTAGGATTCTGTTGGGGCTGTCAGGACAAAATGAGTGAAAGCTTTGCCATAACATGGCTGCTAAAAGCCTGATGCTGTAAGATCAGATCAGGAATCCATGATGGCTCCCACATATGCCTCAGAGATGCTAACACTTGCCTGTCCTTTGGAAGTACACTCTTAGATAGAACATAGAAATGGAGTGAATCAGAAGGGGCCTCCCGGGCCATCTAGCCTGACCCCTGGCTCCAGCCGGCTCCACTCATGACATGCCCGCCATGTGCACGTCCAGCCTATCCTTGAACACCCGCACCGATGGGGCCTCACCCACCTCCCGGGGAAGCCCATTCCATACCCTCAGGGTCCTGACTGTCAGGAAGTACTTCCTGGCATCCACCCCTACATCTTGGTTCCCTGAACTTTGCTCCATTGGAATGTGTCCTACCCTCCACTGCAGGGGGAAAAACGGTCATGACAATGTCCTGAAGCTTCTTTTGGTATTGTGTGGCTTTAATCCCATTCAATCAATTTTGTTTTATTCTAATGTCTTATAAGTCTCGTCTAGCCTAATAAATGCATGCATAAAGTGCCTCTGGCATACCGTGCGCATGATCCCCCCACCCCTCCTCCAAACTGTCTGCAACGGCATAAAAGCATATTGGACCGACCCCCATCTTCGTAGTCCCTTCAGGGGCTGTCCACATGCCGCATGCATTTCCTGTCTGTCGGAATAAATGGTAAATGTTCTCTTGACTGTACATCCCCCAGCAGACTCTTTGGGTGCTTTCTCACTCCTGTCAGGGCCCATAAGCAGCCCTTCCCTCTAAGCTCTGCCTGCACCCCGTGCCTCTCAAAAGGCCCTTATGGTGCTGCTGCATTGCATGTAGAGTATGGGCATTTCCCACGCACTGGAGGAACAGCACAGGGGACTGCTCAGGAGATGGAGGGCCAGCTACCAGCACCTGGGTGGCGTGATGGGGGCCTGAAGCACTCGGGCTAGGCAGCTTGTGGCCCTTCACGCCCTGTGGCCCAGAACTCCCAGGAACTTCACCACAGGCTGTGCTGGGAAGGGCTCACACATCACCCATCCTGATTCTTCCTCATTGTTAGGGACCTCATAACAACAACAACGACAACAACCTTATGCTCCAGTGGCCCTGTGGGCCAAATGTGTTCCATCTGGAATCTCAGTCTGGTCCTCAGATTTTCCCAGACAACCACATGCTTTCCCTTAGCCCAGTTCCTTTCCTTTATCAGCTGATTATTAAGTGATTTTCTGGCTTTTGGTGTTTTTCATTTACATTCTTAAAGGCTGAAACATTGCTCTTAAGGCTTACTTACTTGGAACAAGTATTAATGTGTGCAAAAAACCTCCCTGTCTATAGAGAGTGGACAAATTTAAGTTTCTCTAGGCAAGAAACAGTTTTGATGGCTTTCCATTATGTACCGCCCACTCTGCTTGCAGTCCAGGGACAGATTATCACCTTACCTGAAACTGATGAGAACAGCACCAGAGGTTGTGGGTGGCTCTGCTTTAAGTGCTGTTCCAATGGAACTTTAATTCCCCTTTATCTGTGCCTTTGCTGTTAGGTTTCCTCCTGCATGTTTAAGACAAATGTACTCAAATTGATTTGATTGCTTCTTATGTCAAGTTAATTGAAATATACACAACTGCCCCTGACAATTAACTGCACTTTGCCTTGTCAATGCCATTCCTGCCAGTAAGTACTTTTATACATCAGGAGAGGGTGGTGGCAGCTGGGGGTTCTCCTGCTGTTATTGGCTGCCTGAATTGGGTCCAGATTAATCTGCACTGTGGAAATCACTTATTGATGTCCAAACTGTATTGAATTAGCTTGCAGTGTGCTTTTCCTGCAAGAGAACAATTATGAATAGAGTTCAATGAGTGTTATTTTTCCAGGTGAGGTAACTTCTTTTCTATGACTCACCTTATTGCAGAAAACCATCCGTGTCTTGGTTTTGTGAGCGATTTTATTGCTGAACCTTTCAGCCTTCTGTACTATCAGAAGTGGTTGTTGATCACCAATACCAGGCAGTATAGAATGTCCTCCTATCTGGTGTGATCCTGCTTCTGTTATTTCCTCCCATTTATTTTCAGGACAAACTATGATGTACGCTTCTCTTAGTAACATTCTGCTTTTGTTGCATTTAGCTTTCACTCAATCCAGGCTGCCTTGGAAATGCTTTTGTTTCAAACTGCTTTTATTTAAGCATATAGGTCATGGTTCTACTGAAGCTGTTCTTAATGGTCTGTTTTTAGATCTGGCTAAAAGGAAATGATTTTCTTGTTGTTGACTGTTCTTTTATGTAATTATTGTCTCTGCTGTGTTCTTTGCTATTAGCTGTAACATTGATGTGGGCTTTATAGGATTTTTATGTATTTGCCTGCTACCTCAAGGTAATATTTTCCAAACGGTTAGCTGCATTGTCGACTGCTGCCAAACTAACAATGAGTACATTTTGGAATCTTAAAGATGAGCATATTTATTTTAAGCTTTTGTGGGCATAATCCCCTACATCAAATGCAAGACACTGTCTGGGTCCTCGTACACCCGATGAAGTGGACAGTGGCCGCAAAAGCTTATGGCAGAATATGTGAGTTAATCTTTAAGATGCCACAAGACATCTTGTTGGTGTGAAAAAATACTGTCTCCAACCAGTGACTGTCTACAATACTTCATCCATCTGTTCTAGCAGATAGCACAACATAGGTAAGAGCCTTTATGAATATTTATGTGGAATGAACTGAGAGTTCTGCCTGAAATAGCCATGCTTGAAAACTGTTCCTAGTACCAAATGTATTGAGTTCACCCTTTTTGTCTTGTTTATAGAGCCAAATTGGACTCAGACCTTCCAAATCAAATTTAAGGAGGCGGGTAAGATACTTAGATTCTACTCGTTTTTGTTTTGAGTCGCATCAATGATTGCAGTGGGTTTCTTTCCCCAGGATGTACTACAGTCTTAGAAGAGAACTGCATTATACTTCTGGTGCAATAATAGCATCATCCTGAACAAAACTAAGTGTAACAGACCTCACTAATTTGAATGGATTAGCAAATGCTGTCTTAGTAATCAGCCATCTTTCCAGAATCTGACCTTTATGTTTCAATGCAGTAAAGATTTCCTAGGGAGTAAGCCCCAGCGAACACACTGAGATTTGTAGCCAAGTAACAGCACACCCTGGATCATGTTTAATTGAATGTTTGATATTCATGATCCTTCCCACCCCACATTTTTTTCTAAAATGTTCATTCAAACAAGCAAGCAAACCAAAATGTCTCAACGGGCTTTGAGCAACATCTTTGTCTGATTATTCTGCTGCTGAACTGAAACAAGGCCTAAGTTATTCTATTGACCTCGGGATCAACTGGGAGATACGTCGTACTATAGACCAGCATCTCTTCTCAAAAAGCCCCCCTTTTAACTGTTGGACAGATTATGGCTCATGTGTGACAAATCACTATAATATGAAGCTCGCAATGTACAACCAGGAATGCCTTGGAGGCTTGTGCCAGTCACATCATTCAGCAAGTGCAGCCTCCAGGAATCACGTGGCTTTGTGCTGTTGCAAACACTTGGCACAGAGCAGGTCTCCTCCAACCTGGTATCCTTCAGATGTTTTGGACTTCAACTCCCAGCGTCACCAATGGTTCTGAATGTGAGGAGTCTAAAAATATTGGAAAAACAGTAACTTGGGGAAAGCTCCTGTAGAAAGTTGCAGCCTAAAGGCCATGCACCAGAGTGTACAGCAAGCTTTCTGAAAGGAAGTGCAAGGACAGAAAGTGTGTGTGCAGAGGGACAATGCTGCAGAGTTCATTAACACCCCACCTGCCCTTTGTTAGAGCCTTCTGTGTTCGTTGAATGAGCACCAGCAGCCGGAGGCAGCATCCTGTGTGTCGAGTGGAGGGGGCTCTGACAGCAAGCCTGGAGAATCTGACTGTATAATTACTAGACAGATTTCCAGTCCATGCAAATTAGAGATGTACGAACCAGCAAAATTCAAGCTCACTTTAGAGCGCCAGACTCCATTTCAAAATTTCTTTTCACTCAATCCATATCGGAGTGTGGGTTGTGGCTTTTTCTTTTTGCATGAAAAGGGGTACGTGTTCTCATATATATGTTTTCCCAATGGAAGCATCAGTTGTTTGCACCTTCGAAATAAGCATATCGTTCCCCTATTGATTACAGCATATCTGTGTGCATCTTTCAAAAGTGCGCATTTTTCCAAATATGAGCACGCTGTCGAGTGCACCTTCGTTGTTCCGCGAATCACATGGCAAGCTTGTGTTAGATGAATGTGGCCTAGCCGTTATCAGTGTAAGAGGAGCACAAGCCCTCTGCTTTGCAGCACGTAAAAGGACCAGGTGGGCTGAGGGGCTGCTTGCTGACCATATCAGGATGCTTGACCAACTGACCGCTTTGCAGAGTTCACAGTTGGCGGGTGGCCAAATGGAGCTGATAGCCGGGGCATAAAAGTTCGCTGAACTGCACCACGAAGGTGTGAAGGCTTCTTTGCTTTCGGGCAGCAGCTTCACCCTTCAGCTGAAGCCCGCAAATGAAAACTAGTTTTGAGCCTACATTGTGTCTTTGCCTCCCTCTTGAAAAGACAAATTGGCCCAAGTCCTCTCAGGAGACAACTAACCGGGTGCAATTTACCCAACACTTGGAGTGCAGATTGCATCTGAGCTGGGTTACATCTAGAGCATGTGAACTGGGTAAATCGTGATCAAAAATGCATGGAAACACATTTCTCATACAACCCTAGTTCAAATGGGGTTGGATCACCCAAAAGTCTCCTCTTGCAATCATTTTCAGAATGGTTGGCTTGGAGGGAGCCCCACATGTGTGTGAGCCATAAGCCAGAAACATCCTTCGCTAATTTGGCCAACGTCTGTGAAAAAATCCTTAGGAAAGAAATGCCTGCCTCGACACCTTGTTTCATTACTGAAGTGTTCTTGCAGCTAGTGATAGTTTTCTAATTCTCAAAAAATACTTACTTTCCTGTAATCTAAACCTTTTCCTGAGGTTTAAATTACAGAAGGATGAATTCAGGTCAAGGAAGCTCATTTTCTTGCTTTTTTTTCTTGCTTTCACTGGATATCTGAGTGATATCTTTCTCCTTTTTGAAAACTAGCAGCCTTCTCTGGTTCTCCTTCTTGACCAGACTATTATCATCCTTATTCCCATTCTTTCTATTTTACTAACCTCCTCCTTGAAGTATACATGGCACCTAGAACTCAGCACTCTTATAATTTCCATGGCTGAGCAATGCAGGGCTGTTGCTTTCCAAAGAAAGGAGGAGAAGGAATAAAAGCTAGGTTATGAACTCATCTTCTGTTGTCCAAGTTTTTTGAGAGCTTGTCCTGTCACAGCACAGGCAGGAGGAGCAGGGTATTGTGGAAGAGGCAGTAGTTACGAAAAATTTTGGTGTTAGGGTTTGCCAAGGAAAAAACACACCTTGGGCACAAAGTCTGCAGTACTTGGACAGCTCTGGGTTGACAGGCTGCTCTGGCAACCTCCCGGGTAGAAATGCAGAATAACAGCCCTCCGTTGCCCCTGAATCCAGCTCTAGCTCTCAATCACCACATCTCAGACCATCATGCCTGGACAGAGGCCTAAGAACCTCCTTCGTGAGCAGCGTTCTGTTTTACATTTTAATGGATATGTATGTTGGATTTTTAAGTACCGTTATCCATTCTGAGAACAAATTTTGGGCTGAAATGTAAGCAGCAGAATATAATGAATTGATTATGGGGCTCTGGCAATGGAAAAGGTAAGTGTTTGGATAATGTGGAGTGGTAGTTTTGGATGGTCTGGAATGTCGCTTCATAGTTCTCCATCAGATCATGGGACAGCCAGGGAGGTGCAGGACTGAGAATTAGGAGTTCTGGGTTCTAGGCTGCCTCAGCCAGGGAGTTCACTGGGTGACTTTGGGCCAGTCACGGGCTCTCAGCCCAACCCACCTCACAGGGCTGTTGTTGTTGTGGGGATAAAACTGAGAGGAGAATTATGTAAGCTGCCTTGAGTTCCTTGAAAGGAAAAATGTAATAATAAATATATAAATCCTTAATATCCATGTGAACGTCATGCCTTTGGCTCATTTGTCAGGTAAGCCAGTCGAGCCCACAGTTTTGGTCCCTCCTGCCCCCTCCCAAGATGCTGGTTTAAGAAACAAAATACTTCCGGAAGTACATCAGCTTCCTTTCACCTGATAACTAAAGCACCAAGCTCCCTGTGGATGAAGGAAGCTTCATTCAGACCCAGAATACCACCAGGGCCTTTAGAGGGGAATGCCCTGTAACTGGGGAAGATTCCAAACCTCTGGCAGCATGGAAGGGCCGAGCGGGAGAGCGAAAGCAGCAGCAGCAGCAGCATGCCCCTTGCAGTGAGGGAGGCGTGCAGGCGTACTGTGCACACACACTCTTAAAAGGCGACAAACGGTAAGGAAATATAGCTCTGGTCCAATGCTCAGCAGCTTGATATTGGTAATTCCTCGGTTAGAAAGACCATTTCAGAGTTCAGGCTGTCTTTCAAAGAACGCGGTGCTGGCACCACTCCTGGCAGAGCAGAAGAGGGAAAGAGCGAGAAGCGCGCGTCCCCTGGGAGCGGAGGAACAAAGGGTCTGCTGAAACTTTTCTTTGCTGGGAGAGAATTAATGGAACAGCTCCCTCCCTGGAAAGAGGAGGAGAAAATGTGGATGTGGAATAAGGGAAGCCGGAGAAGCTCTCTGGGCTGGTGCTTGAAGTGACGGGAAGGCAGGCAGACAGGCATTGCGTGGGCTGCCGGAGGGGCAGGGCGAAGGGTCCCAAGCCACTCTGCAAGCACCGAGCAGCGCAGAGGCCCAAGGAGAACAAAGGAGGGGGCTCTGGGGAGGGGTGCCAGGTGGCAGGCTTCAATCGCACAGGGCAAGCCCATGGTGCCTTTGCACAGGGGATAAGACTGCTTTCCAGCGAAACTTCAGACCGTCCAAAACGGGGTCTGCCCGTCAAGATTTTTAAGTACACAGCTTGATCTCTTCACAGAGCCTTCTTTTTCTATATATATATATATATATATATATATATATATATATAAATCTCACACATCGGTGAAGATGTGCTTGGTGTTCACTCGGTAGTTGGTATTGGAGCAATATAGCATTTTTTGATACTTGCTCATTAGGCATTATTGTTAGGCATATTTACATGCGGCTTTGCATAGATGCAAAGCATTCTGCGAGTGCTGCAGGAAGCAAAGCTGTGGTGCGCCTGGCCGTTACTTGGCAAGTTGGGACGCAGCCTTCTCCCCTGCAGTCCTGGCTTTGGCGTCTGGAGGGAGGGTTCCCCAGGGACTCACGCCGTGCTTCGTGTGCATGCCGGACAGTGAACGGAGGGCTCCTTTGATCAATATTCCATTCATCCGTGCTGAGAGCAATCATGCATAGGAAGATCCAATTAGACCCTGGATTCTGCATCGGCTACATCCATACGAGGCGCAGGTCTGCGCGAGGCTGCTTGGAAAACTAGATTGAAAAGAAAGATTGATTCACTTGAAATTCAGCTCATGACAGAGTCAAGGGAAAAATATTACTCCAAGCCTCTGAACTGGTTTTAATCAAGAACTTTGTGCCATAATGAATATGAATTTAAATCCAGTTCCACGGTAGTTGGCTTCTCGCTGCTCTACGGGCTGCCAGGGTTGCACCTTCCATATGCGCATGAGGCCTGCGCATTGGGTACTGAGGCCAGAGCATTGGCAGGGCCCGGCCCTCAACTGGAGTGGGGAAGCGCCTGGAGCAGAGGCACCACAGGGAAGTGCGTGGAAGAGGCTGCTACTTTCTTGTGATGCGAATTACCCAGATGGAGTGAGCAGATTTAAGAGAGACATGTCAGACATT